ACCAGACGAGTTGCTGGCAGTTTGTTTTGGTCTGGTCGAGCCGAAACTCGTAGCTGGAGTTGATGCCTGCTCCAAACCTGGCCAAATGCTGATGAACTTGTTTGCAGCGCCTACGGCGGCCAACACGAAAAGTGAATGGGAGCAGGGCGGAGAAGGGGGCCAGGGGGGAAGTCAGAGGGTGGGCAGCGGTTTGTCGCCTTAACAATTTGGCTAAAGTTTAATAAACTTTATGAAATGTGGTCCTGAGTGGAAAATGCGGGAAATGCAGCCATCGACCGTCGACGAACGACAACGACACCAAACTTCAATGGCAGCGCAGCAGCCGGCTGAGGGGAGGGAGCGTCTGCTGGCTGATAAAGGAAATTCAAGGAAAAGCCATTAAGCAGGAAGCGAATCGAACACATTAGAAAGTTGATGCCAAAAATTACCAGAGGAAAAACCTATGTAAACATATGATTTAAATGGGAGTTGACTAGGCAAAAGATTATAGATTTATATTACATGTCTCTAATATCTATAGTCTAAGCCAGTGGCATTTGATAAATCAGAGTATAATAATTTTCTTTGATTGGTGTTGTTAAATTTGTTGTTAAATAATAGGCAGGGAGAGGCGTGGCAGATCATATAGACTATAGATTATTGATCAAACTGGGTCGATTTAGCACTGCTCGTCCCTCTGCCCGTCCGTCTGCTCGTATCGTCAGCATTTTATTTGGATTTATGCATTGGAATATCAGTTCTTCGAAGAGTTCAGGGAATCTCCTAGTGGATCTCCCTTTAAGGCACTCTTATGTATTGCGCCCATCAAACGGAGCTATGTTTAACATTGTAATCTAAGAGAACCCTCTTAGATAGCCCAAAACATTTCGACTTGCAATAGATTTATATTTAGAAATTTAAGCAGATGTAGAGGGAATTTGTTTCGTTTTCCTTCAGTTTATGAGCGATGAAGCTCGAACATAATTCAGTTTGCAAGAGATCTATATAAGTATATAAAGAGTTTTATTTCGCTTCAATTCCTCCCTTGGTTTTTTGCTCTTGTAGTTTGATCCTACGAAGCTGGCTTTTGTAGATCAAGATTATTAATATTCATAAACAATATACTAATCGAATTCCAATATTTTCCATGCAGTCCACTCAAAGTCAATAATCTTGTATTGTAGCTTTAAGTCTCAACTAGTAATACTTTATGTCCCTCCTAGGTCTTCTTCTTCCATAAGCTTTAATAAATGTCTATATATTGTGGGAGTGTCTTTGCGCCACATCTCAGTCCAGAATCAGTAAGAGACCCAGGCACCAGGAGAGCTGGCAGAGCAGAGAAAGTGCGCAGTAAGTGGGGCGCTAAGAGGATGGCGCTGCAAGGCTTATCATTACAAATGTACACACACACACGCACACACACTCACACACTCACATATACATATATGCATATGCAAAAGTGGATCTGGATCAGAGTCTGGTAATAACATGTTGTTAGCCAAGCCAGTATTTGGCTCGTATGTGTGCTGTGCACTCGAAATTGTATCTAATGGCTGCGAGTTCTGATTAATCGCAACGGCCAGGCAATCCAGGTGAGTGGCAGCAACTGCGGCAGGTTAGTAATTACCAAGTGGACTTCTGGCAGCAGCAGCAGCAGCAGCAGGAGCAGCCAGTAATGAACTGATAAGCGCATAATTAACTAGCATTGTAACCAGTTTACATTGGTATGCCTCTGTCCCAGCCTCCCTACCTCCCACCTCTCTCTTTCTCACCTGCTGCACCACCAGGTGCGCCGCGCTGGCTGAAAATATTTTAAGGCGTGTTTTACCAGACGATTTCAATAGATTTTTTTTCTCTGCGTCTTTAATGACTTTTGGCCATTTGCTATGGCCAAGCTAATGGCTAATGGCTTTCGGTCGGGCTTTTGTTCTGCCAGTGAATTGGCTTTAAGATTTTGCGTTTTATTTGTTTGCAAATGGTAAATGGTAAAAAAAAATACAAGAAACAGCAAAACCGCTAGACCGGGCACATAATAAAGTACAGCTAGCTATGCAAAAATTAAAAATAAAAATAGAATAACTAATCTACCTGTTCACTGTTCCCCAAATGGGTCAGGTGTCACACATGCCGCATGCCGCATGCCACATATGCTACCTGGCCTCTTTAATTAATTACGCTCGATAAGAAATTCGTAAAGAAATTCAATTTGTTTTAATGCTAAACGATTTGTTTCTTTAATTGAAGATATATCTCTCTCTAGCTATCTAGATAAATGGAAACGAAATGAAAGTCTTCAATTGGAATGATAGAAATGGAAAAGAAAAGCAGAAGAAATTGAAATTTTAAATTGAAAGAAATTTGCTAAAAATTATGTATGTGGTAAAATTTATATATAGTAGATAATGTTTAAATAAAAGCAACACAAAACTAAAAACAAAAAGAAAAACAACAGAAAAATGCATATTAAAAACATGTAAGAACCTTAGAGACTGCAGAATACTCATTCACGGCCAGGAATTGATCAAATTCAAAGAACAAGTTTGTCAAATATATTTCAAGTCAAAATAAATGTTTTTGTGTCAATCGCCGTAAAGGCATTTGAATTGTTTTATTGCATTATTTAATTGCACTTAATTCGTAATAAATATGATAAGCAGCAACTGACAACAATTCGGATCAAGCACGCATCGCATTACAAATTACGAAAAAATTCAGAGAACATAAAACAAGTATTAAAGTTGCACTGGAATGCATAATACTGACTGCATAATACTCGTTCGTCGTCAAAACAACTCTGCCTTGGAAAAGAGACAAAGTGGATAGATTGACGAGGAATTCTACTGTCTCATCCTGAAAGTGAATATGAAAGTCAAAGAAAACCAAGAAACTCATTTCACTCGGCGAGCGAGCAAAGTGAAGCATTACACATCAAGTAAATGCCAGAAAATAAGAACAAGCCGCTTTGTCGAACAACAATAAAAAAAAACACATATATATATATGCGTGTGAGTGTGTGTGTAAAACAATCAACAACAAGTCGGAGAATCGGAGAATTTGAGCAGAAAAACACACCTTTAAAATGCCCAATACAGGTAGAAGTGAAGAGTTCAATGCACGCAAATCGGATTAAGCAAAGAAATTAAGTAATACAGCGTGCAGATAGACAGACATTGATAGATAAATAGATAGGCAGACAGCTACATACATATGCCAACATGTGAGAGCCAAGCTACCGCCAATGGAGAAATGAAAATGGAAATGGAAACGGAAAACCAAATCGAACGAAATCAAACTGAAAATTGAACCGCAATGGGCGTTAGAATGTCAGGAAGTACAGACAGGAAGCAGAACACCGCATAATTATGGACTGAATCATCATGCTTAATACTAACCAAGAGGTATTTAAAGTTAACTAATAGTATGCTGGAAATTGTATGTAAGCAAAGAAAAAGAATAAGAATTTGATGTGCTAGACTAACATAGTTATACTACATGAATGTCTTAGCGGGATTTTAGCATTGCCAAAAATTGTTTATTAAAGTTTGTGAAAAATTATTATAAAATATTAATGAATCAATTACAAAAATGTGTAAGAATATATATTATATTTTGTTGAAAGATAAATTCGCCAGAAATAAATAGACACGAATCAAATATTTGTGTAATTATTTAATTTATATTTTACCATTATAGTTTTGTTTAGTATATATATTTT